GCTATAACGATTGACAAAAACGGAAATTTTGTTAAGGCCTTTTCTACTCATCTAATGTCTTGGGCTAGCATCAAAGAAGATCAGTTGAAGGCTGGATTTGAGAAAGATGAAAAAGAAAAAGCGAAATTGCTGTAGAACGAAAGGGTTTGAAGTAACTAAAAAATTACCATTACTATATGTTTTAGGGTCATATTTCTTTAATGTATATATATACGTATCTTCACAATTATGCACATGTTAACTCTACTACAAGTAGGAAACATCACATTTTCCTTCATTGTTTTAAAAACTTTAACTTTTTTACTGAAAAATATAATCTTATCTATTCTTCAAGATTGTAGTATTTCTTAATGTGAGAAAATTGACAAGATTCTACGTTTATACGGTGTAGTTGATGCTGATGATATGATGATGTGAGTTATTCTTCATATTTTATTATACATTATACGTTGTGTTTCTGAAAAAGTGACTCCAAAGTGACATATTAACCTATGGTGATAATTTCGATCACAATGTTAATCCTATTGATGCATTCCTGTGCATGTTTTAATGCTGTCTTAAATTCCTTGGAGCAAAAAACAACTTTTGTGCTTTCAACGAAGATATGTATTATAGCGAAGCAAATATCTGGCAAGAATTTGTGCAAATTATCAAAGTACGCAAGAAGTCTTTATGACGATCTTCTTTTTCATTCGCCATTTGTTTTTAAAAATATGGTTTTTTCCTGAAGCCAAGTTATTATAGGACAACAGGGAAATTACAGCAACGAGGAACATGTACATTGTAAAGTAAAAAAAGAAAAGCGTCTATTGGAGAATGTGCGCAAAACACGAGTGCGTAATTGATATACCACCCTGGGCGCTTTGCGCTGTATAACATCCTTGGTTCCTTACTTACGTCCAGTAGCATACACGCCCATGACACAAGAAAAATTAACTAAGCTTTAAACATAAGGAGGAAATGAGAAAGAGATTGTCGATATTTAGCAAAACTCTCATGGCAATTTTAGACAAAGTAGAAAACCAAACACTTCTGGGAATCATCATTCTTTTGACTCAAACACTAATGAACACTTCTCTATTGTTTATGCTTTCACGTATTGCGTTTATATTATATTTACTTTCGATATACAATCAATTTTTTGCACAACTATAATCAAATAATTTCTTCGGGAAAACGTCTTCCATCGTATAAGTTAATCAACGACTTTTATAGAGCCTCGACTGTAATTGATATACCACCCTGGGCGCTTAACACTGTATAACAGCCTTGGTTCCTTACTTACGTCCAGTAGCATACACGCCCATGACACGAGAAAAATTAACTGAGCTTTAAACATACGGGGGAAATGGGAAAGACGTTGTCGATATTTAGCAAAACTCTCATGGCAAATTTAAGAATCTTCAAATTTGTTACATTTTATATAAACTCAATCTTATATCTGTATATCAAATGCTAACTGCCAACGGCTAACCCATAATGAAATTAATCGAAATTTGAAAGGAAGGCGCTTCTCCTTGACACCCAATCATTCCACGATGAGAAAATCTTATAGAAACTACAGAAATTACATGACGCCAATACTTAATAATGAATTCAAGCATATTTTGACTTAAAAAATGACTTCGGAATATTTTGAAGGTTTGGAAAAAGTCAAAAACCCTGATCCTCTGGCTGGAATAATGGCGACTACTATGCGCGGCACGACATGGGCCAGGACAAAAACAATAAAGGTTCTGACACGAGTGACTCTTCTGTATATTCTTATTCTTTGGTAAAGTGCTATAGTCGAAAACCCGTATAAGAGTTTGTATTCTCTTCATTTACCAGAAGTAATCTCTACTATTTTGGGGCAAAATGACCATGACGAACAACATGGCAAATGTGCCATTTCCTCAAACCTGTACGAAAGTCCTGAAATCAGGACTAACAAAACACTTTCAATTAATTATATACACAATAAAAAAAATCACGTGGTGTTCAGGAGGCTTATCAAAAAATATAAATGTTACTTCTCCTTTAAGATTGAAGTGTTTTTGTGATATCTTTTAATTTCAATCTAAGGCCTGTTTCAAACGTCGCAGTTTACATGCACCGAACGCATTAAAGACAAAAGAAAATGAGATGAGTTTCCTCATTATATTTTGTTTTAAATGCGTTCGGTTCATCTAAAGTTCGACGTTTGAGCTAGGCCTAAGTAACATCAAACACTTTTAAGTTCTACATACGTTCTTTTGTTGTTTTCTCACAACTTTCATCCTTAATTATAGCTCCTGTCAACATGTCCGATTCTTATTAATCATAGTTACATACAAAACTATTAAGTCATTGGTATTAAAGTATCTGTTTCCTAAAACTTTAATGTAAGAAAATTGACTTGAAAAAGATGTAATTGTAGCTGATGATCTCACCTTGTGAACCATTCTTTACGTACATATACACATTACACGGGGAGTTCCCAAAAATAAACAAATACAGGATGTACCAAAAAAGAGTATTCAAAAATTCAACTTTTTCCGAAAGTTTAATTCGTTATAACCATGTCCCACTGATGCATCTTTCTGAACTAAATTATAGGAGACTAATGATGTGCATGAAAGTCGTTTGATTTAGATTTGGAATCCTGCAAACCATTCAAATTGGCAAATCAACTTTCGAATTATGTCTATTTATACAATTAGTTGTATTGTTATGTAGGAGCTGTGTATAGTAATTGTGATTGGTTTATTGGTAGTCACATGACTTGAAATAAATGCACGACGGATTCCTGCAAGGAAAACAAGTGAAAAAATGTTGCCCGCTCATTTTAATATCATAGCGAATAAAACAGCCACCAAACCTAAAACTGAAATAACGTTTCTCGAGCTTATTAAGCGACGAAAACCAACTATTAATAAAAAAGAATTGAGAAAAAACTCGGAAGTCAACCTAAAATGCTGTGGTCAATCATAGCATTTTGCAACGAAATTTTGCAGGCCAACTCCCCCGCCGAAAAAAATTGATTTTATTGAAGAGTTGTCAAAATTTATGATTTTTTTCCCTATATAACAAAACACTTAATGTACTCTCACTCGGGAAATAGTGAGCCTAATTTCCCGAGAGTCCCAACATAGGTTTGGTGTGGTAGAAAAATGTGAAAATTATTTAAGACACTACATATAGATGAACAAACATATATTGTAACAATTTTGTAGAATACAACGATTATTTCTTCACTAACATACAAATATAATAAAATTATATTAATATGCGTTAAAAAACAAAGTTCAACAAAACGCTGCGCAAAAAGAAAGTTTCTCTCTAAATAATTTTTTATAAGTGCTTAACGAATGAATCCCAGGCAGTGTTAAAAAAGGTAACTGCATTTGTTCTGTTTTGATAAAATGTGGTTACTTTTCAACTTCCTTTACAAGATGACAGTTATTAACAAACAATGTTGCTGAATGTGAGTGAAAGTTGTTATACAACTATTGAATGTTAATTTTAAAAATCGGTATTTTTGAATTCAAGATACGACACCTTTTCTAAAGCACCAGTAATCTTCACATGGCAGTTGGCAAATTACTATTAGTCTAAAAAATGGTGTTGAGCAATGTGGGATTCATTTATTTAGCGTTTAAAATTTAAAAATCAAAAGAAAAATCTAGAAACGTAAAGAAAAAGTGCAGTAATGAAAAGTCTGCATACAGTCAAGCTAGTCGTAAACGGACATCCTTGAGACCACGACCTAATGTCTGCTTACGGTAGATGACCGTTTATGAGTTGTTATAAAAGATATCTATTCACTATACGTAGATATGTACACAATAATATAAAATAAATTTAATGATCTAAAATTGTTCACTACATAAAAAAAACACAGTGGATTGAGAAATATGACATCTTAAAAAAGAAAGACGTAGAAATTCTTCACGAATTTTCGTTCTCATAACTTGATGTAGTTCTTACATGTTGAAGTTACTTTTGTTGTGAATGATTTGTTGACCATTTATATCAACTAAGATGATCACTTTTATTCTACATTTATTCATAGTTGACGTTTGCTTTGAATTTTCATAACATGATGCTGTTAAAATCTTAATTCATTTCACAAATGTTATAGTATCATTCAAGTACATATATATTTCCGAGCATGCGCAAAGGCGATCAAGTGCCACAATGACAGTGTGTTTTTATCAATAAGCAGCTTCGATTATCGACGCAAAAAATTCCTTTAGCCATCTCCAATAGCCACAATGTAATAAAATCAAATTCTTTTTATTCACTCTTATGATTACTTATGCGTTATGTTCACATCAAAACGTCCACATGTGATGACAATTTTCATGCTTCAGTTTAGTAAAAAAGTAACAAAGTGAACAGCCAGCTTCAACATTTTAAATATGTAAAAGCTCATATCCTCCAATTTTGACAACAGATGACATTTCAATGAACACGTGACCTGGGTGACGTTACAAAGTACAACAACAAATCCACAGAGAACCATGGTACATAAATTTGTCATTTCTTTCATTACGTCACTTCCTGAAATAAAGCTTCACCTTCTTGTATTATCGTTTGAAATAAGAGTATATCAAATTTTACAGACAAGCCATAAACATATCAAACTTTGGAAAAGTAAGTTGCAGTATATCCACTGATGTTTGAGTTGACGTTGTTGAAAAATAATTCCCATAAATTATCGATTCACAAAGTAAAAGTGTTCAATCTTTAACAATGCTTGCAATATCGATTTTTCATTAAAAGTTAAAAACTTGTCATTAAACATCCTTCCATATGCAACATTTTCGTTTGTTTTCTGTCTCTCTCTATATTGGAAAACGTTCTTTGACTTTTGTTAACTTTTCCTGTTCATACTGTTTGGAGTGTTCAGTCACAATGGTTAAATTCTTTATCACGATGATGAGCGTCAATAATAAGTCATTTTCTTGTAGAGTTTATGATTTACTTTTTAACAGTCAGTGAGAAAGACAGCCAAATTTTTAGTTTTTCTTGTAAAAATTAGCAAATGTACCATTGTTTTATTATAAATTTACGTTTTTCAAATTGATAAAGATTAAAATATTCATATAACCGTAGTAACAATTGGGCTGTCTTTGTCTCTCTTAACAACTTAACACATAGATATTTTGTATATCAAAATGCAATAATAAAAAAGTATTAAGAAAGTATTTCAGATAATATTGATTTAACTAGTAACAACTTGTTTTTGGTGTAAAAGAGTATCAATAAACGTGTAATATTAACACCATCCTACACTGAATACATTTGCATAAACATTATATGTTTACATGGTGTAGATATAAACAAAATATAACCTATGGTACTATAACTAACAATAGTTTGCATTTTATATGTTTGTGTGATAAGATGAAAGTCATAAATTTACTTTCTTGTGCAAGGAACATTATTATCTTAGACACAAAATCATTTGTGTTTACGGTTTGTCTTTATTGTCATTGAATTTTCCTCTTTTGTTGATTAACTTCAGCTTTTATACATGATCTCTCTAAATGTTGACATTATCGTATACTGCGGTCTCTGTACAGAACAATCAAAATTAGACAAAGGTCGTTTCATGAAATCATACGCAAGCAGACATTAATTGAAATGTCAACAATAATAGGGATTACGCATAGAAACTAAACAAGATTTTTTTAAAGATAATATAGTCATTATGGAAAATGGTGAGAAATTTTATCATCAATGATCAAATTTATCCACGTGGCAAGATGATTTTTACGCATTGTACTGGGATCTTTAAGGAAGAAAAAATTAAAGCAAGTTTGCGTTTACGACAGTAATATAAGTTCTTGGAAATAAACTCACAAGGGGAGAAATAATTCTACAATCTTAAAATATTTCAAATCAATCAAATGTTTATATTCATTATATATATACCTATCATCAACAAAGAAAAACTTTGACCCCAAAAATGCTCAAAATTCTCTGTAGAACTATAAATAATTTGTATGTTTTAACGTCAAATACTTTCACATACTTGCGCATGTCACTTATTAATAATTTATCTGCTGAAGGTGAAAAACAGCGTAATTTTATAGCCAGTAGTATCACGCCAGTACTCTCCAATGACTTTGTCGGCGATTAAATTAACGATTTCCTCCTTAATTACGTCATCCCAACCATTAACAAGTTTGTCTTCATGCCACATACAGAAAATTATCCGACCCTTAAATTCAACTTTAGCAAACACGTGATACTTAGAGCTACATGCAAATACGTGCACATTTTGATAATTTTCAAAATTTACTGATATTTCTTTTCGCTTGGTTTCAACATTGAAAAACACAAAAGAATTAGTTTTTTGACAAGCAAATGATACATCACTTACCTCAAAAATTTTGTTTGTACCTTCTAGTTCATCAAAACTATAAACAAGTTTTGTCAATTTATAGTTCCAAAGCTCCGGAATATTTTTTGCCGTAATCAAAATAACTCCATTTTCTACAGCAACCATGTCATTAAAAATACATTCCTTGACAACAAATTCAAATGTGTTGAGATTGTATATAATTAACCTTGAATTTTCTTCATTGCTCCGATAAAGAAATTTTCCATTAGAGCAAAATTTCTCGTTACCTAAACTGTAACTGTTAGTTGAACATGCGCGCGGCATCATACAAAAAAAATGTAAGTCAACTCGAAAAAAAGAATCAGAATAAAGAACATTGCTTTTGTTCAACATAAAACCATGTAATTCTTTATAAAGATCGGAAAACATTGATCTGTCGTAATCGAAAGGATCAAGAGGATACAAAAAATAATTATGATCAAGATCTAAGTCGGGAAGTTTCTCACCAGTGGGATTTACAATGAAATTTTTATTCCCGTAATAACACCAAGAATGACGACCAACAGTCACCAAAACACCAGGCTCATATGAATTACCGGACGGTAAATGATTGTCGTAAACGAATGTTTCATAATTATTCGCTACATTAAATATTTGAACCACTCTTTCTTTTCTAATAACACACAAATACCTTCCAGATTTAGAAAAACACAGTGAGGTTACTTTATTACATCCAATACTGCGTTTCTTCTCACCTTTCTCAACGTCCCATACTGTCAAAGTATCTTTGTAACTAGTGACCATTGTGTACTTATCCTTAGAAAAACATTTGTTAGTAAAGAACTTAGAAGTAGAATCATCACAATGGAATGGACTGGACGAAATTTTACCATTAATATCTAGTATCTTATCAAGCTGGGAAGCAAATATCATATCTTCGGATGGATGAAAGACAACGCAAAATTCTTCCTCTTCATATTTCTTAAACTGACCTGCAATATTTTTTATCCATAAGCATTTGCTTGTTCTCAATGAAAAAAGTTGCACGACGAACCCAAGATAACCACACACGACGTAATCATGATTTCGTGAAACATCAACAGACTTCAAAAAATGAAATAAACGTAATAATCGAGCTTTTACAAAACCCGTGTCTCTGCACTCTAGATATGGTGAATATTTGAAACGTGTTTGAAGCATTGTGGTGGCTTGAGACGACAGATCTTTGACTTCATTGGCAACGTTTTGCAAAAAAATTACTTCACTGTCAAAGAGCATAGAGTACGTCATTACAGAATAAACTTCATTAAATAACAATCGAATGTCCTCAGAAATATGAAAGTACACATCATGTGCGTTGAATAATTTAAAATTTTCAAAAGTACGACGAGAGTCAACCAAAATAGAAGCAACTAAAACTTCCAAGTCAACAAGATATTTACCAACATTTTCAACGATATAATCATTATCAGAAATATCAAGTAAATGAAGCAACCAATACTTGACTGAATACCTCACTGTCACATGTTTAATGACGTCATAGTTTACGCCTTCAGCTTTGAGGTTATCCAAAGATTTTAAACAAAATTCCAAAACAAGTCGATTACCACAAGAAGTTTTTACTGAGTAATCATGTTTTCGATCATCCAACAACCAATCATTTAAGGATTTGTGAAAAACGAAACACATCCTTCTCATTGGTAACAAACAGACAAGAGATAATTTTTCTAACCCTAAGTGAGTCACGATTCGAATTAAAACAAAGAACGTCATCGATCATTTTCCAAGGAAGAGGTTCTTTAGCAACAGCCAAAGCATTTAAAATTGACTGAAACTTTTCGTTACTGATATGAAACGAATCTAATTCCTTACTTAATCTTGTTAAGCAAATTTCGTAATATTCACTGAGATCTTTTGGTATGGAGCCTTTCAACAAATCCTGATTTTGACTTCGCTGCTAAGAAGTGATGCAAGCAACATAAGTCCGTCAGCTTTTTCTGCCAAAATGTTTTAAAATCAGGAAGGCTGTCAGTAGAGCCAATTCTTTCTTCAATCAATAATTTAATATCCTCTAAATTGCGATCATCGCTACAGTTAATGAACAGTGGATTTAATTTTTCGAACTTATTCAAAGCAACTTCGTTAGGTCTGGTTGTAATTACAAAGCGAAAACAAGGCGGAAGTTTGTGTAAGTGATTAGCAATAAATAAGCAAGGTCATCTCTTTCTGGATAACCACATTCATCAAGAGCATCAAGCACAACTAACATTCGCTTGGGAACTTCTGAGATATTATAAAACAACTCAGTAAAAGAAGGAAAATAATCCTTCAACATTCATGTTATTCAAAGGCTCAGAGAGTTGACCTGAAAGTTTTTCACAAGAAGTTGTTTGTAAGCAGGAAACTTACCGCTAATTTGCATCGCTAAAGATTGAAGAAGTACATTGGCTTTATTGTAACGACTGTTGTTGTGTTGAAAGAAATGAACTGCAGTCAAATATTGTGGATAACGTTTACATAAAGTAGCTGCAATTACAGATTTACCCATACCAGCAACAGCAGAAATAATAAATGCACGATTTTGAGAACTGTCGTCTTCGAACCAAGCTAAAACTCATCAAAACCCATTCCGTGTTCCTCTAAAAATTTTTCAAAATGATGTTTAATTTCACTTTCAAAATTACAACTGACAAGGTTATTTGTTAAAATATCTTCTACTGGACGTGAGTGAATATGACGTTTTATTTCTTTCTGATTGCTTTTCATTTCTTCCTGTTTAATTTCAATCACACATAAACGATTCTGTACACTATCTTTAACCTGTTGTAAATCTTTCTCTACACCCTCCACTATTTTCTTAATATCTCTCTGCTCAGTTTTAATGTCAGTTAAATCGCTCTTTAATCTATCCCATTCACTTAAAATTCTTTCACATTCTTCATTACCAAACAACTCATTTTTCAATCTATCTATTTCTTTCTGACTTATTCCTAAACGAACTAATGGTTCGCTTATTTCCACCCAAAAATTTTCAAAGTCATTAGAGCTTACTGAAGTGTTAGGTAAGTGAGCAAAACGATCATTACGAAATAACCTGATACGGGTAATATCTGCTTCAGTTGAATAATCAGTGACATTAGGCATGTTTTCCCATATTGGATCACGAGGTGGTTTTAAACCACAAATATTACGCAGAAGAATACAAAGTAAAGTAATGTCAAACTTATTTTCATTTGGCAATATTGGAGGAGGAGGATACAGTAGATCCCATTGATGTTGCTTTATTTGCTTATCTTTTAGCGACAAAAGCTTATTATAATTTTTCTGTCATTTAAAACATAAAATAAATCAGTACCTGACAGTTGTTTCCTCAATGTTATTCTTAAAGCTTCTCCACCAACATCAACAATTAATCTCATCAACTTAAAACCATTAGTTTTCATGTCTGAGCTCAAGACAGACATAATGTTGCTCCCTGCAGAAAAAAGTAGGTAAGATTTCCATGGTACAAACTCATTGTGATTATAAAGGAAAACCTGGTGCTGGTTACAAGAAGGCAGAATAGTTTTATCCATTAGATGGCAAATCGTTTTGAACTTTTACAAAATCTCTTAAAAGGGAATAATATGTGATTTGAACTGAGCAATCATTGAAATAAAATATTGCTTGAAAGATTACAAATTTCTTTCACCTAAAGAAAATATAACATCTTTTTCTACAAGTTTGAAAATTTTACTATCCGACGAATAATGCTATCCAGGCTTCGTGCAATCGTCCCCAGATGTACAAGGTACATAAAAATAGGTACGAGAGTGTACATGTGGGTAGCCTTGACCAGAGTTAGAGTACATGGAACAAACAGTAGCCAGTAAACCAACTGCTTAGTGTTGTATTTTTCATTAAATTAAGTGAAGTCCCAAGGCCATTCCGTAATAATATAATGTGCAAAATAACAACAAATATTTTCATGTCAAAATGCCACAAAATGAAATCATTCCTTCCTTTGGCACTTCTTTTTGGTACAAAACGTTCTCTGTGCTCAATGTTTAATAAAATCACCAGTAATTATCATTATCTTTCCTTTTATTGCTCTCCTACGCTCAGTGCATGTTATGTGTGCTGGTGTTCGCGTGCTAATATTGTGCAAAAGAAGCTGGCAAAAAAACAATATAATTGCCATGTCGCCATCGTTATAAATCTCATAAATTTTAATGATAGAACGATAAGTTCTTTGCCATTTTGAATTAAAACGATTTTTTAAAATGAATATTATATCTTATTTGTCTAACAATGGTGTGGTGAAAAGATATATCGGTTTGTTGTGTTGTACGAATTTTGCTTATTGATAGGACTATGTTGCCGATGATTCTGTTCAATTTAAATTTTATGTTTATTGTTAAAATGAGGAGGCATTGCACATGGTACATATATCATTGCTGATGTAGTTATTTTCCATAGGGCCATAATATATTTAAATTCTTCGTCATTTTTGACGATCTGTTAAATCCAAATCGTCGTCATTACTAATTGAAGTAAATATAAAGAAAACTATATCCTGTCTGCTTTACATTTTCCTCACCAAAACACAGAACACAGGGTGAGAGATAAACAACGTGATATACGAATAAAATACAGAACAAAATACAAGCACGGACTGCACAGTGTAGCTATCAAGTTCCAAGCATTGACTATACTAGACAAAACAATACTATTCGTTATCGTTCGCATTTGCGACTATGAACATGAATACAGCCGAAGATATCACGACGGACAGACTGACACTGCCTCACTCAAACACTTTTTCAGTACTGCCACCAAAATATTTTTTAGCAATATGAAATCTGTCTATGATTTTAAGCCTTTCTAAGAAAAATTCCAGAAATTTGGTCAAATCAACAAGCTTTTATGGCATCTTGAAGTTGTGCATTTTGGCCCAACGTTTTCTATAAAGAAACTGGCACTAGAAGGTATTTTGACGTCATCCAATATAGTCAGCATTTGGACATATTTAGCTTATATTAAACATATACGTTGCTTCACGCTGTTTAATTATAAATTAAAAAGAAAATTATGTCTAGCGAAGTAAGCGATGAATCAAAATGAGAATTGAGTGTTCAGTCTGTTAATTCAGACAAAAACTTTATTCCGGGATACGTGACAAAAAACTCGGAAAGCAATGAAACTTGAGCGATAATGATTCGAATTTTGACTGAAAAGCATAGATGGTCGGAAAGACACAAATTCTAATCTCATCTTTTTTAAGACCTGAAAAATTAGCGTTCATTTGATTCCGCAAACTACTAAACTGACGCTCCAAATCCTCTGGTTTTATCGAGCCGAACAAAGTGTTGAAGCACTGGAAGGCACAAATACGCGATTTGCTTTAAAACCCAGATATTTCGTCTTCGCTTGGCCTCGGGCCTTTTATCATTATAAGGCATAGTGTGAAGACTCATACGAGAGCAAAGGCTTGACTCATTCGTACAATTGGCTGCAACGCAACAATTTACCTTTTTTCTGCTTTCACTAGTGCAAAGGCAATGCTTTTAGGCGCTTATAGAATTAAGTTGTTCCTCAGCCAGCATTGACTTGATAGCAATTGAATACACGACTCGTGTAACACGAGTACCTTGGATGACGTCAGAAAATTAGCTAGTTTCAGACTCCTCATTATCACGGACATGGCTCACAAGAATATACGATTTTAGTGAATTTAACGCTTTTACAAGAATCAAACGATTTGACCAAATTCAAAACTTTTTCTTTAACGAGGCTTAAAATCATCGACAGATTTAATATTGCTAAAAAATTTTTTCTGGTGGAAGGGACACTTTAAGACTCACAAGGTAAAATGCCTATTATTTTCACAGTAAAAGAATATAAAAACGTACATAGAAGGACTAAACGTTTTATCAGTCTGGCTACACCATTATTTTTTAAAAATTCATAACCATTATCGTTGTCTAGAAGGTATTATGATAAAAAAAATGAGCAGGTGTAATTTATTTGGACTAATGCTTTATTCACGACTTAGGACCTAAGGAAGACATAATGTAATTGGGACACAGTTATAGGAACATATAGTATAATTTTATAGAGAACTTACAGTAGATTGCATTGAATATTTTTGTGTCATGCATATCTTATTCCACAAGTGATTACCATAGTGGCAGTCATACACTACATTATTTTGACCAATAGGTGCACTGAGCTGGCAAACTACACCCAGTAATATAATTATATATACAGCAGTAAGTTGCACAGAAAGTGGTCCTACTGTATATTCTCATTACTGTGGTTGGGGTGACATAAACATTTGGATGTAATGATCCCTAGACAACAATGGTTTTCTAAGGAGCTTAACACATGTAGCCTATATTGTGCATAAATAATATGATCTTCAAATTAACAATCATCCTACAGTCCTGACACAGATTTTCTTGCTAAAAAAGGGAGTGTGTCAAGAAGCCAACAAAAGTGATGAAAGCAATAACAATGGTCAACAAAACATTGTAATAAGAAAACCAATGAAAAATTGGTGGGCATAATTTTTATGAGAGTTGACCCAAAATTGTGTAAAAGATGTAAGAATCTGTACGTCTATGACCAAAACCATTTTTTATTGGTAAGATTATTATTCTAAAAAAATTGGCAAACTACATGAAATAGCTAGCAACTGAAGAATAAAA